TATGTTGCAACTAATTTTAGCTTATGTTGCAACATTTTGTAAATTTGAAATCAATTGCTGTACCATCTTTAGTTTCATCAAATGATAAACAAATTGTTCAATTAAAATGATCTAATATATCATTTTATCAAATGATTTAAGTATCGTTCAATTGGAACAATCAAAGTATCATTCTATTGAATAATAAATAAATCGATCAATTGGAAAAATCTAAAATATTATTCTATTGAACAATAAATAAATCGTTTGATAGAACAATCCAAATATTATTCTATCGAATGATAAATGAATCGTTTGATGAAATGATCCAAAATATCATTCCAATAAATGATAAATGAATCATTCAATTGGAATAATCAAAATATCATTCCAATAAAACGATAAATACATCATTTGATAGAATGATCCAAAATATCATTTCATTAAATGATAAATGTATTATTTGATAGAATGATTTAAAATATTATTTCATCAAATGATTTAAGTATCATTTGATAAAACAATTATAAATATCGTTCCAATTGAATGATTTAAGCATCATTTGATAGAACAATCCAAAATATTATTTCAATCAAATGATTTAAGCATTATTTGATAGAATAATCATAAATATTATTCTATCAACTGATTTAAGTATCGTTCGAATAAAACGATTTAAAATAGTATTCTAATTAAATGATTTAAGCATCGTTTAATAGAATAATTATAAATATCATTTCAATCAAACAATAAATGAATTATTTGATAAAACAATCCAAAATATTATTCCATCAAATGATAAATAAATTGCTCAATTGAAACAATCAAAATATCATTTCATTAAACAATAAATGCATCGTTTGATGGAATGATCCAAAATATTGTTCTATTAAACGATTTAAGCATTGTTAGAATGTAATGAACATAAATAACGTTTTATCAAACAATTTAAGCATTATTTTATTGAATTATTTAAGCATTGTTTGATAGAACGATTATAAATATTAATCCATCAAACAATTTATGCATTATTTGATGAAACGATCATAAATATTGTTCTAATCAATCGATTTAAGCTTCATTCAAATGAAATGATAATAAATATCATTCCATCAAATGATAAATAAATCATTTAATAAAATAATCCAAAATATCATTCCATCTAATGATAAATAAATCATTCAATTGGAATAGAGCTTACTGATTTTCTATTCGAATAATATTCAAATTATTCAGATCAACAAACCCCTATTCGAATATTTACTGAATGACTAATATTCGACGAATAAAATCAATTTATTCAAATATTGTTTATTCAATGAATAAAATTAATCTTATACAAATAACTTTTATTCAACGAATAAAATCAATTTATTCAAATATCATTTATTCAACAAACAAAATTAATCTTATTTAAATAACTTTTTATTTGCTGAATAAAAATACATATAAATTACTCATCAAATAAATTTTATTTGCTGAATAAAATTATTTGAATTTATAAACTTGAATCTTTTTTATTTATTCAAAACAGTTTATTTATTTTATACGACTAACTGATCAAAAATAAGACTATAACTAACATTATCTAATATTATGTAAATCACTAAAAGCGAAGTAAAAATAAAACTTTTTTTGCATCCAGAAGTTTTTTTCCAACTACTTATTTGTTTTTTGGTTTGAATATGTCAAATAACTTCATATTGCGTTTTAGAAATAACATGGATCCCAATAACTCAGGTTTTAAACAAATACGACGTGAAGATAAATGAAGACCAGCATTAGAAAATAGTCTTTCTCTTGATACAGATGTAGTGGGAATCAACAAATATTTCATTGCCAACCGGGATAAAATTGAAAATATATTAGTTCAAACTTTCCACCATTCTAATGGATCACACCCTTGCACTTCTTTAGATAAAATTAAATACTGAGCCACTTCATCAGATATAACACTATCATCATCATCAGAATTTTCATATATTCTAAGCAATAAATAATTAATTTGATGAGGATTTCAGTTAATATTTGGTGATTTATTTAATGTTAGTGATTCAAGTGAATTAGGTGAATTAGATGAATCATCAAATAGATTTTCTGTAATAGCAGCTTGTTCAGCTTGATATAATTGTTTAAGCTTATCAATAGTTGTATCATATTGTATTTCAGTAACAAATTTGAATTTTTGAACTGAAAATTCAATAAAGCTGCTAGTAGTATAACTTCTTTTGGTACATTCTAATATTGACTTATGCTTAAATAGATGGTGGTTTTAACCTGTTCTATAATACCAGTAACATTAATTAGTGATTCAATAACCTGACATTTTTTAAATCATGAATTAATATTATCACGAATAATCTGTTGGCTACTATTATTACAGCTTATATTATGTCTTCGTTCATGACCACATGATATAATAAGAGGTTGATTAATACGAACTGCTGGTTCAACAATTCCTTCATTATCTGAAATTATTTCATGATCTTGTTCAGTTTCTTCAGGTTTTTCATATAATAAAGTTGCATAGTAATTTTCATCCAAACTTTCTGGTGGAGCAACTTTTTTTTTGAGATAACACATTGTATAATAAACCATATTTAATGTAGTATATAAAGCACCTGATAACATTTTAGTTGTCTCATAAAAAGGTTCCAGTAAAGTTAACATATCGGAAAGAAACTATAATAGATAAAGGTAATAAATCAATTATTTAATATAATATATTTATTTATGGATAATAAAAATTATCTCCATTCAGATTCAGTTAAATTAACTTATTTCAAATAATTACTATCATCCTTATCATCTTTATCTGATGATATTTTTAAAATAGTAATCAAATAAAGGATTACGCGTTTTAATTCAAATAGACAACTTCATGCAAGATAAGTAGAATTCCACCTAGTTTTAATATCAAGTAGAATTTCATACACCTTTGGATAATTTAATTTTCATTGAGCATCTCTAAGGTTTTCTGTTTGTTTAAGACTACCTCTAAAATATAAAATAAGATTTATAACCCACTTTTTAAATATTTCAGCAATGCCAATACCTTTAAGTACACTAAGATAAAGAGTATAAGCACAACATGATACATGTGAGATTCCTATCAATCAAATGGCTTTTACAATATTAGAACTATTATCTGTAGTAGCAATAAATAGTTTTTGTTCAAGTCAAAATTGTCTGATTATTTGTTCTATAGCATCACGAATATTTTCACCAGTATGTTTTCCATTAATTTTTTCACAACCTATTAAAGCTTCTTTAAGGGTCTAATCGATAGAATCTAACCATCCAATTGTAATACCAATATATGGTTCATTATTGCATGATGACCACAAATCAGTAGTGATACAAACAGATTGAGTACTTTGTAACATACTGGTAAGCTGCTCTATTGACCAAAGAAATGCATTATTAATTATATGTCGTGCTTTTTCATTGTCTGGAATATTAAAGCCTGGACATGCAACATTCATAAAAGCTTTGAATGATTGAGATCATAAAAGATAAAGTGATTGATAATCATCAATCATCCAAGCCATCATGAAGAGTTCAATGTCTGGTTATTTTCTAAGTGTAGCTTTTCTACAAGTAATTTCCATAGATTCTTAATATTTCCATCTTCTGCCTAAATTAATTGTTTACATATTAGTATAATAGATATTTCAAATAATAAACCAAAAGAAT